AAATACACCCCCCCCCCCCCCCCCCAAATTTTTTTGAACAATCAAAGCAATAGTTTTAAATTAATGAATTATGACTGTAAATTGAAAATGAACAACTTTTTAGGAGTTATAATTTTATTATGATGCTCACGGGATACACGACTACCTTCGTCCCCTCCAAGGATGTCACATATTATTTACCCTTTGGCTTGCTTTCTGCATTTATATCCAGCATGACTTGCCCAATACTTTTTTCACATTCTAAAGCATTGTTGAATAGACTTCAGGTGCCTTGTTTCATTTCAATTCGTGGCTTGTTTAACGGAGTCCGACAATATAAAATAAACAAAAATAAGAAGTTAAAATCTGGTCAGTTTGCTGGAAAAATTTTATTTAGATCCTTCACTCTCTTGAATTCCAAATGATCATAGAACAAAAACAATGCTGAGACTGAGAATAATTGTAGCTACATTGTCAGCAATTGCTATTCTCCTCTTCCTATTCTTCATACTCTTCAGCATCCATTTCAAGTCCCCTCTTTTACCTCCCGCATACACTACCATTACATTCCAAAACAAATCTTCTCCACATGAACAATTCAGCCTTCTAATCGGAGTTCTAACCTGCCCCGACAAATATGACCGTCGCCACTTCCTCCGCCTCACCTACGGAACTCAATCCTCTTCCATAGCAAAGATCGACGTCAAGTTTGTTTTCTGCAATCTCACAAAACCAGAACAAAGAGTCTTCATAGCCCTCGAGATTGTGCGGTTTAACGACATAATCATTCTTAATTGTTCAGAAAATATGAATAGTGGCAAAACATACAAATATTTCTCTACTCTTCCTCAAATCCTATCCCGACAATACAACTATGTAATGAAGGCTGACGATGATGTTTTCATAAGACTTGAGCCATTGGCATTGTCTCTGCAACCATTATCCAGGTTTGATTTGTACTATGGTTTTGTGATTCCATGTCCTAGCATGAATCCCTTTGTGCATTACATGTCCGGAATGGGTTTTGTTTTGTCCTGGGATCTTGTTGAATGGATTGGCAATTCTGAAATTCCTATGAATCATACGTTTGGACCGGAAGATAAAATGGTTGGGCAATGGCTGAATGATGGGAACAAGGCCAAAAATAGGTTTTCTAATAAGCCGGCAATGTATGATTATCCTGGAACTAATGGAAGGTGCTCACACCAGCTTATACCAGATACGGTTGCAGTTCACAGGTTAAAGAGGTGGGAACAATGGCTACATGTACTTAATTACTTTAATGTAACAAAAGATATTGAACTCTACAATATTGTATGACCATTTTTTAATACATTGATGTTTAATTAAGCCTCTGGCAAATTTATAAATGTTTTATAAGGATGAATAATAGCTACTATGTTCTACAAAATACGTAGATAACAATGAACAGTGATTATGAATATATGGTTAAAATTAATACTTGACCGAATATATAAATCATTTATAAATTGATATCCAAACGGAAAGTTAATTTAGATTTCTCATGGCGAGTTATAAAATCAACAGTATTTTAACATTTTAGAGATCGAGTTTTATTGTTCGAATATATATATGGTGGTGATGAAAGGGTTGTTATTTGATAGATAAAATATCAATATCTAATTCACAGGAGTGTAGTTAAATACAACTATAAACAGAAGGGAACTTTATGGTATACAAACCACAAAAACAAGAAATAAAGAAGAAAAAGAAGGAAAATTCGAGGCAAGTGAAAAATCACTCTTTCCTCGAGATAAAATTGCCCCGTCACGATGCTTACGGTTTATGGTACTTGTCTCCCAAGATACAATGTATTCAACTTGTGGTAGAAGCACTTCAAACCACAACTTACGGCCAACTTTGAATGGAACCTTCTCTTTACAAGAAGAAATGATTTTGGAATGAATCTGAAGAGTTTTGCAAGAGACTTTATACAATGCTCAATGCAAAAGTTGTGGTCTAACATATAAATGCATTATATAAACTAACATGAGTAGAACTGCGTCCAAATAATTAAATATTAGGTAAATTTAACACTAAATAAGCATGTAAAATACACTTATCAGTATTTATCCTAATCAATTAATAAACTAAAATCCTAATCAAATAAGAATATATATTGAAGCATTTGGCTCCATCAACCTTCTCCGGTTGCAAAATTTCATTCAAGTTTCTTGGATTTTAGCAATTGAAATAACATGTATGTGCATTACTCGCGCTGTATATATATCCCATTTCAAAATAAGATCGCGGTGGTTAGATAATGATAGATTGCACTCGTGCCTTGGGATTGAAAAGTAAAAAATGTAAGAAGTAGAAATTTTGAGTTATATTTAAGCAAAGAAAATACATTCTGCTTCCATTTTATTGCAATGTCGAATTTCATATTTTAATGTGCTATTATAGGTTACGTTTTGTTTTTACCATGTAGCAACTTTCCCATAAAATTGTTATCTACCCATAAATTTGACAAATAAAAATAGCTCTTAATTTAAGATAATCTAATAATCTACATCTATTAAATCATTATTATTTGATACTCAATTACTATAAACTTGAACCATTAGAAGCTGAAATGTAAAGAAATAAACTGCAGAGATTCAAATATTACATTATTTAGATTGGGTCCTTCAGTTGCAATTTTATAAAAAACAAATCGACAATAGAGGAAAGGGTAAAAGTCATTTGTAAAGAAAATGTGTATATCTTACCGTAAGATGATTATGGGGCAAAAATATAGGTGACTGGATTAATTACGTTCGTTGTGGAAGATGGTGTTAGACCTTGACAAGTATAAATTCTGTAAACGATGGTGTAAACCAGGATGTACATGTAGCATGATTGGAAAGAAATAGGGACAATTCCATTTGTACCGAAAGTTGTTTGCCCTCTCACAATGTACGCGTTTTTAAATATTTGTGAACTATAAAATTGTATTATAAAGGGTAACAAATAAGTTCTTATTTAATTGCTCAAGTTTATGACATTGGCAATGTGTGTTGCTAGAGTTCGGTTGTGATTCGAATTCAACTTGATTGCTCGCTTTGTGCAATGGGTGCTAGAGCGATGGATGGATGTGAGTCTGCTACTCAAGTGGTGGGGTTATTTGATTTTGACAGTTTTTACATTCATATTCTATCTCAGACATTCCATTATTTGTTTCAATCCAACTTCTGTAATATCCTTAAATATCGTAAATTCTCTCATTCTCTGCTCATGATTTTTTTTTTTTTTTTTTGGATTTCCACGTAAATTTTATTTTCTTGTTCTTATATTTTCATATTGCTAATTCTCATTTATTTTATAACATGTGTCACACTAGATCTTCTTCAAGAAAAAAAGTAGGAAGAGGAGTTTAAAGATGGAGTCAACTCCTTTAGCAAAAGGAGGGTGACGAGAAACCACGGAAATAGTCTAGTGATGGCAAAATTCCCCCAAATGGGAGTGTGGAATCTACCCTTTCCCAAACCTTGAATCATTCTTTTATTTTATTTTATTTTTATTTAAGATTTCAAATGTAAATTGTATAACAAAAATAAATAAATATTATAAATTAGGAAGAAAAGAGAAAAGTTAATAGATTTTTGTATTTCATTGAAAAACAAAACTCATATTATTCTAGTCCATTACCATCTGATGCTATTAAAAATATGCACCTGTGAATACTGGGGCTTCACGACTAAGAATGAGCATGAGCATGAGCAGAGCTTTCGTAGCTCAAGCTCAATGACAAAGCTTGAGCACATACAGGGCTTTCGTAGCCCGAGCTTGATGATAAAGTTTAAGCTATGAATTCTTGAGCTTGACGATAAAGTTTGAGCACAAGCAAGATCTCCGACCTAAAACAAAGGTATCAAGATGTGTTCTTATCATCGCTCCAATGCTAAGTTAGCAAAAGGAGAAATATAAGCATGAGATACGAATTGAATTAATATAAAAAGCTAACCTGAATAATGAATAGATGACTATATTTATAGAGCTTAAACAGATTGGATCACTTGAATGATTCATTCGTTTGAGAGATCCAAGTGACTTGGGAGTCGCATGAAAGCTGGACAATAGAGTTTTATTGGAACTATATGTCTATTAATTGGAGAGCATGAGGACGTAGGAGTGGTGTTTTGTTGGGCTGGGAAACCTTATAGAGAGAAGGAAAAATGGTAGTGAGAGGTACGAGGTGTCCAAGTGCCTCAAGCTTAAGCTCAAGCCCGAAGATGTTCTGGCCCAATGAAAGTGCTCGATGTCCGAGGTTATCATGACCTTGAGCCCAAGGATGTTTTGTCCTGAGGGGAACGCTCAAGGTTATGGGTTGTTGGATGTACAAAAATTGTACACATAACCTTCTATTATCGAACCTTTTTTATGCTTTGTTTTGTTGACCTCGTTTTATTTCATGAGACTTCTCTTCTTTCTTTAAAGAAACTCAAAAAATATCACTTTCTTTTCTGAGTTTCCTCTCGTTTCTTTAAAGAAACTCATTTGTTACTAATCTTTTGAAGCTCATATGTATAGAATAATGTAGGAGATATGTGCTTTAACATAATTCACTACAAAAAAAGGGGGTCCAGCGACCAACAAAATTGGTCACCAAAGGGTATTTACCTACCAAAAAGTACCCTTTAGCGACATAATTACATGGTCGCTGGCTGGTCAGTAATACACCGTTGGTGTAGATTTTCAATGGCCAATATAGTGTGGTCACCGAATATACAACATACAACTACCAATTATTGGTCGCCAAAAGGTTGGTTGATTCATCCTCATGAATGTCTTTTGCAACCAAGTTGTGCACGAACGAAGACTATGTTGATTGCTGAATGGTGATACCAACGATCATGGTTTCGTCGCTGAAGGCCTTCAATATTCAACGACCACTCTTCGGTTGCTAAAATGCTATCAAAATTGATGTGGGATACATCCCGCCTAGTTGTGTAGTGACCAAGCTCATATTGGTTGCTGAATGGTGATATCAACAACCATATGTTGGTTGTTGAAGGTCTTTCCAAAATTAATGCTACTTTAACAAACCAAAACTTCCAACAACCAATTTGTGGGCGGTGATGATGTCTTATAGATGTCTTATAGCAATCAATTTCAATTGGTCGCAGAAAACTTGGTCGATGGAGCCCATATTTTTTGGAGTATAACTCTTTTAATATATTATCATACTACAAGATTAAGAATTTGCCACTCCAAAATTTGGTAGCTAAAAGTCCAATATTACTCAGAATTGCCAATCCCCAACTAGAAGATGTTAGTCGACAGATGGTCGAAAAAATCCAGCCATCAAAAGTTTTCACTGACTATAATATATTTTAGTTGGGGAAGATAGATATTTTTACTTACCAAAAACAAATTGGTCGAGAATAATAGAGATTGTTGCTAACTATTTTTTCAGTCGGTAAAATTCTAAACTTAGTCTGGGAAAATGTAGGCTGACAATAGCCTGAAAGTAAGAGATTTTTTACTAACAACAACAAATTGGTCGGAAATTATAGAACTTTTTGGTGACCATTTTTTGGGTAGGTAAAAATCTAAATTAAATTGGAAAAAACATAGGCTGACCATAATTGTTGGTCAGGGAAAGTATACATTTGCCGACCAAGAAATTTAAGTCAAGCAAACATTGGCTGACCATATTATGTTAGTTGGGGAAATTTTCTATTTGTCAACGAAGGAAATGTAACCTAGTGGAATTTGAACTTGATCGATCAATCCACATTTCCCGATTACGGTTTCAATCAATAAATATAATTTTATTTAATTTTATTTTAACATTTGCAATAATCGAAATTTCAAAACAAAACAAAAGTCTAACTAAAACACAATGCATCAACAAAAAATCAAAATCAAGATATATCATAAATCATAATGCGACAGTCACAATACAAGAGCCAACAAACTACATGCAAGACAAAATAATATATTGTCCCTTTATAATTCAGTTAGTTCCCAAATATGAATAATACATATACATAGATAGTCCAAAATAATAGCATAAGCAATAAAAAATCCTAGCCAAGTTTCAAAAAATGAGAAGACTAATGTAGTCCAATACAGTAGCATAGGCAGTAATAAATTATCAATCATCAAGATTTAAAAACATTATATGCAATGAAAAACTTTAAACTATTGATGATCATGTGACTCATGATCAAATGATGATGATGGATGAGTAGTGGACACTCTAAGACTATCCATTCTAGCAGTGGCACCTAGCATCATCTCCTCTAACCAGGTGATAATATGCTCATTTTGGCTCTGCAAGTTATGCATGACTTGGCGAAGTTCAATGTTCTCTCATGTTGTGTACATGAGATACGTAGGGCGGGAACCTTTGGACCCCTACCCAAACCCTATAGTAGCAAGAAGTAGATCCAAGGTCCTAAGTTGCAATTTCATTAGCAATAAATTGTACTCCTTGACTATCACTCTCCTCTTCTTCAATGTGTGCTTCTTGTGAGGTCTGTATATTTATCATCTCCTTCGACATGATAATAGGAAATTATTAATGCAAAAAAGGGAGTAAAATATTTGTTCCACTCAGTAAAAATAAAGTTAAAATACAAAAGTATTTGTTCGTTACATATTTTTCCTGGGATATGTGATGGATCTAGCCTTTAATATCTTTAGTGTTCTTCCATAGTTCAGTTTTTCCTGGTCGCCCATTTCACTTTCATATTATAAGAAGTAAGAATAAGATTTAATTGAATCAAAACTATTTCTCAATAAATATGGATATTTCCTTCTTATTACCTCCGTAGCCTGACATTGAATAAGGGATTTAGAACTAGAAAAATGGGTAAACACTTGTTGTAATCTATTTTCAACTGCTACCATGGATCATTTCTGTTATGTACCTTTAAATTAAATTGAAATGTTCAACGAACTAAATAAGTTAAAAAAAAAAAAAAAGAACATAAATGCAGGTGAAAAAAAAAATGCACATGAAACAGCTCAATTTCTCAATGTCACGCAGATATTCCCAATTAGCCTAGTCATGAACTTCTTTAAGCTTATTTGCTTTCCAATAAGCCATTGGTTGGTCTAGATACTTCTTGTAGTGTTCACAGCTCATATCGAAACTCCTTAAAGGAAGTGGCCATCGATTTCTTCATGAACTCTTTAAAAGTTGCGTATTTATCATAATGATGTCGAAAACAACTTATATATAGCAACATAGAGTGAGTGAAAATAGATATGACAAGAGCTTGAAATAATACATAAAGATAGTTGACAAAGCATTGAAGCAGGTTCACATGGGTAGTATGCAAAACGAATAGTAACGCATCTAATTTAAGCAAAGGCAGAGAAGCTTTAATAGTTCCCTTTTAATGTTATGCACCAATTTACCAAATGTTATTCTGCAGCAGACAAAGACAAAATATAAAGTAAACAAGATCTTCCATATGGTTAATTGCATATCGTCAAAGCCGACTAATAATTGTCTTGGTTGATAAATATTGAGTGGTCCAAAAATAAACCATTAATTGACCTTTTTCAATTGGACAACGTGTCTCGTCTAGGTCGACTACTATATTATCTTGGTCGGTAAAAATATAAGGGCCAAAAAAAAAAAGATATTTGCCGACCCATTTCATTGTGGTGAGCAAATATGTATAGTCTAGGCAAACTAGTAATAATTTTTGTTCGGCAAATATTGCTTTAGGTGGCTAATTTTAGATTGGTCGGCAAAGATGATTTTTCATCGACTATTTTTATTTGGTCGGAAAAAACTGATCGACAAAGGTATAGCCCGACTAAAAATTTTTAGTCAGTAAAAACAGTATATTCATCAACTCATTTTTGATTGGTCAAGAAAATCTAGTTGAAAAAGCTATAGTTTCCTATAGTGTCATTTGAGTACAGCAATATAAGATGCATTATCTTCCTACAATATATTCTCCTATCGTTATTTGACTTAGTCATTAGAATTACTCTCTCTCTCTTTTTTCTTTTTTTCTTCTTTTTTTTTTTTATTTTTATTTTCGTATACAATGTATAACATATGAGAGCAAAATTCATAAAGTTACTTTGAAGGTAAATGTCATTTAAGTTATGAACACAATACAAAGAATGTCTCTGTTAAAATCTTACTAGAAAAAATCATATGAAAAAAACTTAATGAAGGAGAAAAGAGTGTATTATTACAATGAATATACTACAAAAGTCGTCTCCTTAAAAATCTTGATTAATAATATTATGCGCTTTACTCCACATCATGATAATATTTCTTGAACTATATACTTCAGGCATGTCAAATGCTTCAAAAATTTATATAACTATATTAATAAGCATGTCAGAGAGAGAGTTATAACCATATTTATTAAACGAACATCGATTATTATTGTTAGCCTAACAAAATATATACTTGTGATTGTATCTATCTATATAAGTTTTTGTAAAACTCATTATATTAAGAGTCGTGCATTACATATTATGATTTTATTTTCTCATTTTCTTTTCACATAAGTATACACCTTTAAATATATAGACTGTATGTCCAAAAATGTAATTTTGGATAGATTGTATCTTTTCATTTTGCCAATTATTTTTATGTTGATATTCTTTGAATATTTTCTTCTATATTCTCTCTAATATAAAGCGATACATGTACAAAAATATTATCAACAACTCTTTCTTTTTTATTTCATTCTTATAAAGACAGAACTTGTTAAGATATTTTAATTTTCAATATTTCAGGTGATGAATATCCTCTAGGATTTTATAATTTTGTTGTGTATATACTCAATAAGAATATATGACTCCTCAATAGTACCATCTTCTATAAA